CCCCAAAACCCCAAAACCCCAAAACCCCAAAACCCCTCGCAGGCTATTAAAAATTGATTTATTTGCTGATTGCAATATGGAAGGCAACAAACTCAACCTCCGCATGGACTCTTTAGACGATGATGACGACTCTTCTTCGTCTTCGAGCAGCTCATCCAGCGACGACTTCAATGTGTTCAACGACACCATCACGAACAACACCGCTCCACAGAGTGTGGCTGGCACCGAGGCATTCGAAGACGAGCACAAGCAAGAAAAGCAAGAAATCAATGCAAAGTATGAACACTTCCCACTCATTGTGGAAGGCCCTGAGTTCAACAAAGACCACTCGTTCTTCTTGATGCACAAGAACGCAGACATTGCCAGTTTAGAGAAAGCGATCTTAGCTGAAGACTTCGACAAAGAAAGAGAAGAACGGCTTCTTGACATGGAGTTCCGGATTCTCAACCGTGTCTGTCACACAATGGTCCATTTCCAGGGTTTGCACAGAGAACACAACCAAGAGTTCAAGGCACAGAACAGGTACAATGAAGTGTTGCCTTACAAGCACAACTTGGTCGAAGTCAGAGACAAAGATGGCAACAACATTTATGTGAATGGAAGCTACATCAACATCCCGATCCGCAACTTCGGAGAAAGAGCCTTCATTGCAGCTTCAGCGCCAGTCGAGAAGTCACTGAACAACTTCTGGGAAATGATCTTTCAGAACAAAGTCCCCATGATCGTCATGCTTTGAAACATCGAAGAGAAAAGCATTGTCTGAGAAAAGTACTGGGACGACGAGACTCCCAATGAGTTCGGTGAGATCACTGTCAAGCCACTCTCAGTGACAGGAGAAGGCGAGAAAATCATCAAGAGAGTCTTCGAAGTGTCGAAGGAGTCTAGTGATGAAATCCTCACGGTTACTCAACTACACCACACAAACTGGCTGGATGATCATGCTCCGTTTAGTGAAGAATACCAGGACATCGACTTGCTTATGAAGTATGTCAGCGAATACAGAAGCAGTCACTTCACAGAGTCTGAGTCAAAGAGGCCTGACCCCATTCTTGTTCACTGAAGCGCTGGCATCGGAAGGACTGGAACCTTCATTGCACTGCACTGTCTTGTCGAAGTGTTAGAAGCCATCAAGAAAGGCACCTACAACAACACTTGGGGAGAACTCAAAGGGAACGACTCTGGCACCGACATCAGTGAGATCGTCGAGAGATTCCACGACTTCGAGAAGCCCCGCTTTTCACCATTCGGGGTGACCAGGAGACTCAAAGAACAAAGGTTCGGAATGGTGAAGACCCAGAAGCAGTACGAGTTTTTGTACTCATACATGGGCCACTATCTCAACAAAGCGTAACAGCCTGAAGACTTAAGCCTTAAGTAGAATACCTAATGCACTAGTTCAGTCGTATAATATTCAATCTCTTGCATCTGATGAGGGGTTTTGGGGTTTTGGGGTTTTGGGGTTTTGGGG